ACTAAAAGACTTCAATAGCCATTTTGCAACTTAGTCAAACAGGACTTGCTTTAGCATGGTTTCAGTTTTAGTGCTTTAATTTTTAAGCACACTGTGAAAAATGCAAGCCCTGCAGAAATTTGCAAAAGAGAAGATGAGGGGGAGAAAGATGATGCTCCAGTGAAGGAATGAGGAGCAACTGAGAAATCTTTTACTTTGAATTAATGTACTAAGAACTGTCACATTCCTGAGAACTCACTCTTGCTAATTCTGAGGTCACAGAAGGAATGAATTAAAAAACACTGCACTTTCCCCATTTTTGGACACCTGTGTACTTGCAACAGGATCAACTAGTTGTTTTAGCTCACTCTGTGGTCTTCAAACAAAGATATGAAGGACGACAGAATCCAACATCACTTTCCTACAGGAGGAGAGGGAGTCAATAGGAAGTAAAGGGGCTACAGTAACTGCAAGCTTTTATTTTGACCTGTATTGCCCTCACCACATCATGATAATGCTCTCTGGGGACTACTGTAGACTAAACATACCCTCAAATGAAAAGCCTGATGATTTTCTCTCTCTTCCTCATTTCCATATGACCAATACGTAAAAAAAAAACTAGGAAAAGATTTAGCAGGACTTGTATTACCCTAATCAATGATCAGAAAGTTTTAATTTATGTCCCTTTCAGACAAAAATCAGTAGTTACTGGAAATAGCTAAAGTGTAAAAGATAAAGGGAGGACCTCAGCTCTTCCTGCCCAAGAACAAGAGAAAGAAAAGTGAGATCAAAAAAAAAAAATTACATTCACAATCCCTATAGACATAACTCATGACTTAAAAGTCCTATTTTTTGGACAGTGTTTTATGAGATAATAGTGCACAGTTTATCATGTTTTTTAAATAACTTTCTTTAAAAGAGAATTTCTAATAGATCCCTTTTAATAAAAAGCATGAAGGAGTACAAACTCCTCTGTGAGTAGAAAAATGAGCTATAGAAAATATGAATCAAATTGAACTTATCAAAGAGAATATCATAGGAGAATTTTTGGACCAGTAATTAAGGTTCCAAATGCTTTCCTTCTGTTTTATCTTCTAGAAAGTACCTCCTTAAAACTAGAGATTTGGCAGTTGTAAATTAGGCAGTATTACTTAGTGGGAAAGATACTAAAAATAGGATTGAAAGGCACAAATTAAATTCCCAGATCGCTTGCTTGGGAAAGTCATTCCCCTTTTCTTCTCTACTTACTAGTTTCCCACTTGTTAAAGCACACTTAGACCTATTGAAAACACACCTATATGACAACTTTATTAATTATTCTTATTACTCATTTATTACTGAATTTAAATTAAGGATTTAGAAATTTCATAATTATTATCTACTCATTAAAAAAGCCTAAATTTTATAGCAGCTAAAAAACCTAACTAATTTCTGATAACTACAGATTAAAATAGACTAACTATCAGAAAGAAATAATTCAAATATTTTCTAACTTTTATTAGAACAGTTACAGTTTTTTGTGTATTAAATATATATGGTATTTCTTTTTATTTTCTTTTGATCTGCCGATTCATTTCACTAACTAGATGCTCAAATTACTGGTTCAGTGTTGTGAACTTTACTTTGCCAGCAAAAATTTCTTATCTATAGTATGACTTCAGTTTCTAAAGCTCAAACTCTTCTGCCAAGAAAGATCATATAAAAAACCAAAGCTACATAACCAATCCCTTTCTAAACTGATAATTCAGAACAGTGAAATTTTGTTTCCAGCATCTCTTCAAGCATATAAGCTCTATCTTGTCACCAAAATGCTGCTGCTTCTGCACACAGTTGTGTCAAACTAACAACACTAACAAGCTCGAGCACCACAATCCAAAAGATTCTGTTAGCAGTGAAACAGGTAAAACTGAGGCACAGGGAAGAGCTGTTATTCTCCCATGTCACTCAACAGGTGTAAGGTACAAAAAAAAAGTCTGAATCACAGTCTAATGCCTCTCAGAAGGGTCTTAAAAAAATAAATATGTATTTATAAATTTGTTATCCCCCTTTCTGCAGTAAAATCAGAGTGGAAATGCAAATTTACCCTATATATTACAAGCAGTAAATATAAAATAGAAATTCCAGAAACTCTTAAGGGGGAGCTTAATGCTATTTACAATAAGGCAGGCATTTTATTTTAGGGTTCAAATGATTGAGAAATATACACCTATGGTTTGGGGATTTTTTTTTTTAATTTTTTTTTTTTAAAGCTGCGACACGTTCATATCCAAGAAATTTTCCTAGCACTAACTATACACAGAATCAGAACACAGAAATATTTCTATCTTGTACTAGAAATAGAGTCTTGCAAACATTTAAAGTTGCAGTTCATCTTCAGCATCTACAGGAAGGAGAAATGAAAATAAAGTAAAATACACCACTGATTAGAATTGACTTAAATTTTAGAAAATAGTAAGTCTAAGTTGTATTAACTAAGGAAAGCTGTTCTGTAGCAATTTTGGACACAAAATGAAAGTATATTTGACAACTCCACATAGCTACATTCTTGCGAATCCCCCTCCCTCCCAATTTTGAACTCAAAAAATGGATTCTTGATGGAAAAAATGACTTAATGATATCTAGCAAAAACTATAAGGAGAAAAAATATCCTAGCCATTCCTAAAAGTACTGCATCTGCTCAAAAATTAAATTCCAGGAGGTTCCTCCCTTAATTTAACAGTATTCCAAACAAATATTTTCTGTGCTTTGGTTGACATCATTAAGCTTTTGGTAGATTTCCTATTTTAAACCTATTCACTTAAAGGAATTAAAATGACAAAACTAGAAGCAATTAAGATTTATTATTCATATTCTCACTTCATTTGTGGTTCCAGTTTTAGATGTCAGAACTTCATTTATTCTGAGAGAGTAGTCTTGAAATTAACCTGTATTATCACTTCACAAAGAAGGATCTTTTTAAAACCTAAGAGTAAATGATACTTACCAAACACAAGTATGAACAACGTATTTAAAGATACAACCCAAAAGACATGTTCCTGTGAGGAGTAAGGGGAAGGAGGGAGGAAGACAAGGAAACAGTACATAAATATCAGTCATTTAAATAAGTGACTTTTGTATCTAAACTACTTATTTCAACTGCCTATTATTACGAAAAGTTGCACATCTCAAGTTAGAGCCAAGAAATTTGCTCTAACACAAAGACCAAAACATGCAGGACAGATTAGGAAAACATCTGTGTACGTTCATGAACATCTACCTAGATAAATGGCACTTATATTTGCTTTAACACTCTTATTTTGTAAAAATAAGCTTTTATTTTAAAATCAATATAAATAGTTCCACCTTTAAAAACAATTACATGAAATGTACGTGGATATTTGTTTCATAAATGAGAAAATGTTCATCTGAACTTTTAGCAACTGGACTTTGTCACAAGAAACCCATTAACAAAACTGACAGCTCTTACTCTAGAAATGACTGCACATCTCTATTTTTTTAACTTTACTTTTAGCTAAGATGTGAACTCAGCCGTAAGTACACTGGAATTCTAATTCTTTTGATATTAATATTTAAGGTCAATCACTAATGACATAATAAGCTACATTATTTTGAACATGGGACATTAAAACATGACACATTTTATTTCAGACTTGAGACATTTATCCACTACAGTATCAAACACACACATTCATATTAAAGAATTATATTTCTTTCATGCATTAAATAAAGTAAAATTTATACTGCTTGAAGAGAGCACAGATCTTTTTTCCCTTTAAAATATAAATGACTTCTCTTTTTAAAACAAGCGAGCTGGCAGATGATACCCAATGAATGTAGCTGTGATGGGTTAAGGTTTTGTGGCCATTGACTCTTTGCACTCTCTCTCCCCTGACCCTGAAGTCAGAGCTAGACATCTGCAACAGTGAGGTAGGAAGGGCAGCAGAGACAGCCCTTCAAATAAACTACAACAAAGCCCACTAGAATATATGCATTATATACCTAAGAGCTTGTCAGAGGGATAATCAACACAGATTCACCCACAGACAAGTGTTAAAAAGCCAACAGCCTTTTTAGGAGTGCTTTGCTAAATTACCATGATCATAAAGATTTTTGGAACCAATTTAAAAGATAAGTGTTCCACAAAACAGACTGACTATTGTGAAGATTTTTAAAAAGTATTTGGTACTGATATAAGTTAAAATAATATTCAAGAGGAGAAAAATTCTAGGGAGGAACAAAAAAAAGAAAACCAACCAACCAACAAACCCCAAATAAAGTCAAGAAACACAACTGAAGATCTTAAATTTGAAAATCTAGTCTAGACTAAAAATTCACTAGTGGTGTTCTGCTAGTAGTAGGGCAAATCAGAGAAGTCTGAATGAGGACACTATTTTAATCATAACATAAATAGCAAAACTTAAGGCTAGAACAGATATGTATTTTCAGTGTATGCTTTTTTAACGGGTCTAGTTTTTATTTACAGTGGAGTACATGATCCAAAGTTACCTATGTCTTTTAAGAAATTCTATTTTCATGCCACACGCACACAACTCTACTCTGTGAAACTCCTAAAAAAGACAGTTTGCTTGAACATGACATCATATGAAAGTCTCTTTAAAGAATATACATCATATGAATATAGGGACTTCAAATAGAATGATGTAATTTTAAAAAATATTGTTTACTTTACAAAAAAACCCCGTTCTATAGAAATTCTTGAAATGCAGAATTTCACTTACTAAAAAAACCAGAGATCCGTCAAGTCCAAGCATCTGTGAAGACAGAAAGTTAATCTTATTTGCTCATCAGAAAAACTAAGCAATACGCATCTAAAATAAGCCTCATAGAAGCCTCTTTCACACAAACTTTTAATGTCCAATATGGTCAAAAGCTTTTTTTTATTGCTCAACCAAACAGAACCTAGACATAAATTCCTAAAGATAAAGACAGAAACTAAGTTCTCATTCAAGACAGTAAACCCAGTTGATCAAAGGCTGTGATATGTGGAATATCTTAATACACATGTATTTATATATGGCAAATCAAACACATAATCAATTAATTTATAGGCTATTTCTCTCCAAGACCTTGAAGACTGACAAAGATTTCGTATTTACAAAAGATTTTAGTGATCGAACTATTATTTAAAAACATGTTTAAACAACTCAATATTAAGATACAAGAGCAAATTTTTTTTTGCTTCCTAATTGCAAAGTATCAGTTTATGTTGCATTGAGAAAAGTCAAAGGTTAATATTTTACCTTCAGTGTATAAAAGCAACTAGTAACAGGATAATGTTGCTACACTGGATGTTAAGTTTAGAACAGAATTGGTTTACAGCTAGGGAAGACAGGAAACAAATCCTCCATCCCTTTGCACAGCTGCTATGGGAAGCATCCACAGAACAGCCAAAAAATAGAACATCTATTTGGAAAAAGAAAAAAAAAAAAAAAAAAACCAAACCAAAAGCAAAGCCAAACTCTTCTTTCCCCTCATTTCAAGTATTTCTTACTATTTCAATCCAGACACTTCTACTCCATGATTACTGCTGTAAAGTACAAGGTTCAAGGCTATTTTGTACCAGAATTTTGCACTAAGTTCCAAGATATTAAAGTTGCACATATTTTACAAAGTAAACCAAGATACAAATATTTTTGAAAATTCAGAAAGCTTGCATGCCATTTTCACAAGGTGAAATAGCAGAAAAGCCTACCTCACTTTTGATACTAAATGTCTACTGCCTATGCCAGCACGTAAGATTGGAAATGGTTATAAGAATTTGCTGAAATTGATTTCTATATTCATGGAGAGGCATCAAAATATTTTCAGTTAGAAGTACATCAACATTTCCCAGCACATAAATTGGATTCAGAAATACAACACTTTCATCTTGAGATACACAGTAAAACGGTTCAGATACCTGAATTTTCACTAAATAGCTTTCAAAACAGACTAAGAAGTTTTCACTAGATATGAAACGAAAGATTAAGACCTGTCCCTCATAATGAAAACTGCATTTCTACTACACTGCAATCAAGGCAACAACTACATCACAGCCTAGGAATACACTGACCAGCTTTACAACTGTCTGCCATAGGCTCTAGTGATGTTGGTAAATTACATGAAGCTGCTGCATCTACCTTCAGGTAGATTTTGCTGCATGTGGTGAGCTTTGAACTCAGATGTTGGCTACTTCTAAACCAGCTACAAAAAAGTAGTTCCTGAGTCTCTACATTACTCTACAATTACAGTGTAGATGCATCTTATGCTCTAATTATGGAATTTGTGATCCATAAACAAAACAGAAGCAATGTTACATTAAAACGCTCCATCATTTTTTAAGAAATACATTTGTCTTTTGCAGATATGTAAATAAATTAAATTAATCGATATTTCCAGTTCTCTCTTTTCTTTAGTTTAATGCTTTCGTGTGTACAAAAATTAAGCATATATACAACGCAACACCTATGTGCTCCTAATCTGACCTAGCATCCTCAGTGCAAGCTGGAATTCATTTCTACACCTCAGAAAAGTCTGTGCTAAAATGTGTTTTAAGCTGCTACTATATTTCAAATCAAAGTAATGTCTTTTTGATAGTTAACAAGTAGCATAGTAACATTTTGGTTTTAATACAACAACTTTTTTAGGTCACTAAAGCCTCTTACTGATAGTTTTCACACTAGACAATGGTATCCAAATCTATACCAAATGGATTTTAATACAGCAATACTATAAATCATTTCAAGTATGAGTCTGAATTATTCAAGAAAATGATTCTTACTCACTCGCTCCCAAGTAAGCTCTTCTGCTGCTCGATCCCATTCCAAAGCATTCCAGTTCATGTCATCTGAGGAGACAATGGCCATTTTTACAGCTGTTAGACTCACCCAAAATAAGATCTAACCACTCCATGCCATGTTTTAAATGAACAAAAAGACTTAAGTGCAATACATTCAGTTTATAACTGCTGATAGCTTTTCAGCAAGCAAATGCTTCAGCCCTCAAAAGAAATACATGAAACTTGCAAAAACAAGATAAATAAGCTGAAGTGGGAATTTACACAGCTTCCTTGAATTATGATAGTTCTGTTTTCAATGGTTTAATTTATTTTTAAATAAAAAACTAGAATATTACTGTTGTGAGTCACCTGTTACCTTGTGCTCCATTGTTTGCATCTGCTGCATCTTCTACTACAGCATCTTCTTCATCTTCATTATCTTCCTCCTCTTCATCTACTTGTTCTTCTTGAATTTCAGGGTTCTCACCTACAACTACATTCTCAGCAGCTGCATTAGCAGGTTGATCAAGAACAGCGTTTTCAACGCCTCCATTTACAACAGCCTGAGCCTGCAGAAACAGGATTTAGAATTCAGCTAAATCTATCAATCTCACTCCATACTTTTATGCTGTACGCAGAAAAAATGAATAGTATTTAAAGAATGTTAATAATGTATTTTGTTAGACAAGCATTAATTTCGGGACCACTAAACGTTTTAAAAGAGGGAGAAAAACATTCAGAGCTCTTCACAGAATAGCTGAGGTTGGAAAGGGCCTCCAGAGATCATCTAGTCAACCCACCTACTCAAAGTAAGGTCAACTACAGCAGGTTGCTCAGTGCTGTTTCCAGTTGGCTTTTGAGTGACTCCAGAGATGGAGACTTCACAATCTCTCTGAGCAACCTGTTCCAGTAGTTGATCACTCTTACAGTAAAAAAAAAACCCTCCAAACCAAGAAACAAACTCCACATCTGGGTTTGGGTTTTGCATTTTTTTTTGTTTTGTTTTGTTTTTCCCCCCCCTTTTTTTTCCCCTCCCCTAAATGGAATTTCTTGTATTTTAATTTGAGCCTACTGCCTGTTTTCCTGTCACTCAATGCTACCGAGAAGACTCTGACTCTGGCTTCTTTACATCCTCCCATTAGGCATTTATACACACTTATAAGGTTCACCCTGAGCCTTCTCATCTCCAGGCTGAACAGTTCCAGCTCTCTCAGCCTCTTATTGTATGTCAGATGCTCCAGTCCTTTAATAATTTTTTTTGGCTCTTCACTGCTCTCTCTCTGGTACCTCCATGTCTCTTTTGTACTAGGGGAGCCTAGAACTGGATACGGCACTCCAAATGTGGTCTCAGCAGTGCTCAATAGAGGGGAACTCTCTTGATCTTATGAAAACTATCATTATATTAGAAAGACAATAATTCAAGGACAACCCAAGTCAGTCACGAAGCTGAGGATCTCTATCTCTGTCTTTAAAAAAAATGACACTTATTACAAAAGAAAACAAAATTTTATTTCCCCCCATGCACATATTGTTTATATTATCTCTTCTCTGCCCAAGAGGCTCCTGTAATAACTAGAGGAGTGCATGCATGTGTGTTCGGGCGTGGGGGGGAGGGCAGAGAAGCTCCAACTTCAGAGGTTTCAACAAAACCTCCAACTCCTTTGAGAACAGCGAATTGTTACATCATGAACTACTGAAGTACTTATGAAAAAACAAAAGCAAGCTGCATCTTCATTGACTATGGCTGGCAATTCAGCTTTATATGCACAAAATTATGTCAAAAAAGTCTAAAGATACAGACATAAGAATCTAAACAATATTACTTTACAAAAATTAGACTATAACAAATCCATTAACATTCCATTTTACGGAATTTCAAAAACAAACAGTAGCGTCACTGAGTTTGAACACGTTCAACTCCTGCTAACATACAAATAAAGATACTGCGCAGTAAAATAACATTACTGTTGAGTTCTCATAATGTATTTACTCACAAAAATACATTTTCTAAGTTTATCACAAACTACTGAGCAGTTAAGTTTTACCTCATTTTGTGGACCAACACCGTTGATTGGCTGTTGCTGATTTTGTTCCAACCACTGTGGTGCTCCTCCATGAACAATCTGTTCACGTAACCAAACAAGGCTGATAAATGCACACAGAGTGCATGTTACCACAAAACAGCCCTGCAAACAGTCAGCTAGTAAGTTCTCCCTGTTAAAGAAAGAAAAAAAAAAATTAACGACGAATATATTTGCTAAGACTAAATTTAGTCATTGTTAACTACCACAAACAGATCCTCCCAGTCCAAATCAACCAATAAACTGGTATTTGTGCAAAAAGCTGAATTTATTTATGCGTCTAGGTGAAGAAAGTATCTAGATGCAATTTTTACTTAATTTTAAAAAATCTGTTCAAAGAAGGTTTCTTTCAGGAAGGCTGTATGTACCTGTATAGAAATGGTTTTAAGTGCCAAGATAAACACTGATTTGGAAAAGGTTTTATTCCCCTCTGGTTTGGTTTGTGAAGTTACTGCTGTTTAAACATAAATAATCTTGCAAAAAGGGATCTGACTCAATATGAAGAAAAGCCTCAAGAGTAGTTCAGGGAAAACAATCTTCAACAATAGCAAAGGAAACATAATAGTTGCTAAGTAAATTATTTGCTACAGTAAAAGGTTTGTTTAAATAGCTAGATGTGTAATATCCAGTCCACTAAACATTTTATCTGCTGAGCTACCCTAATCAAAGGAATGGAACTGCAGGGTTTGCCTTCGACTGCTCTACATTTTGGGTCATCTTTTACCCCAGATATTACCTCTATACTTTAAAAACCCTAATCTATAAAGTCATACATAACTGTAAAGCAGCAGCAAAACAAAGTTCAGTTAGCCAGCTGAAACTAGGGTTTCATGCAATGCAAGAGGTACTTAAATTGGCTTAAACAACTCTCATCCCTAATTCCAAGTACCCCTTCCCGCTTGTTTCTACCCTTGCACTACTCCTTGATCACAGTGAATTTTCTCAGGAAACTAACCAACTACAATACGTGCTTTAAAGTAAGTAAGAAATAGGCCACCATAATGCTCTGCCATCCCCAAAGAAGTATCAGTTTGGTTCTCCATGCAGCCGCACACACACTTGTGCCTGCACAGCAGTGAATACCGTGGGGACAAGAAGTCCAAAATGAAAAGATGACACAAGATGGTATTGAAATTGACTCTGTCAAAGAAACACATGTCAAAGCACAGCTTCACATGCCATTAAAATCTGACACATACTTGAGTCCTTTATTTTCTCCCTAGACTGTAAAAGACAAGAGAAGAGGTGCTCTACGTTCAGTATAAAAATAAAATCTACACTTACTAGGAGATAACAGGAAAAATACTGTTATTAACCTCAAGCAAGCATCGCCATCGCTCTCCATTAATAAAAATTAATTAAATGTAACATGACCTGATGTCCCAAATCAAATAGTCGAACTGAGATGACTTAGCTTAACCGCATAGGACATTCATTCCAAATTTGCCTGATGTGCAACTGATTCTACTGAAACTGAGTTTTGGTTCTTCAGGGTCAAGATAATGAAAAAAAGCAAGACCCAGCCTGAAACTCTGTTGTGTTGGTATTTACTGATTCTTCAAGTAAAATTGATTTTAAAAAGACAAAGATAGATAATATGCAATAGCATATGGTGATTGAAGCATTAAAATCTAAGTGTTAGCTAGAAGGCAATATGATAAAAAAATCCCTATCACATAAGAGACTCAGGATGGATAAAATTAAATTCAAAATATAAAAATGTAACAAAGCAAACAGAACATGACATTAATATTATTAGCAATATATATTAATACTCTACTATGTGGCATCTGATTTAAACCGATTATTAAGTGTAATTTTGCAGCATAAGTTTTTTTTTACATCAAATAAAATTTTCATTAACCAGGGTCCATTTTGCAAAGTCAGTTTTCCATCTCCAAAGATCCTGAAGAACAGAACTTCAAAGTGAAATGATTTCTATTGTAATACTGTTGGCAATACATCTTGTCAAGCAAAGCGTGACAGGCAGTTGCTTGTGTAAGATGATGGAAGATAACAAGCATAACTGGAAAAAAGGGACACTAAGTTCCAAAGCAACCATTTTCACAGTAATCTGACTAGAGAAGTTATTTGTATCAAACTGTTTAAGTACTTACGTTGACAGAATATCTAATGGCAGTGTCAGTAGTGAGCTCACAGAGCCAGTAAACAAGCACTTGTAGATACGACCTGCATGAAGAAACAGAAGCATGGTATAAATTCAATTTTGGTTATAGCGTCACTTGGAAAGGACCACAGGTACTCTCTTTTCACCTGGCATCCTAACTATATTTATGACAAAGAAAAAAATCTCAACTTTCAGTGAACTAACAGAACTCAAGACCATATACAACCAGGTGGAACAAAACTGTATTTGATACAGCTGAACATTCTTGATAAACTATACATTCAGAGTGTAAGAACTGCCATATGAGGTCAGATCCAAGATTCATCTAGACCTGTCTCCAGCAGTAGTCACACCAACAGATGCCTAAGGAAGAATATGGAAACAGGTTAAAGATACATCCTCAGTACATTCTCATATGCTTCACACAAAGCAGCTCAGTTCCTGTGCCATAGTATCTCAGTGCTAATTAATCCTTGATGGATTCCCCCCCTCCGCCCGCCTTAATTTGTTCAATCATATTCTGAACCTGTATAAACTTCTGGTATTACGATATCGTGTAGAAAGGAGTCTCACCATTTCTTTACCTGTTTTAAATAACTGTTGTATGGATTAATACTTAGTGCCAGTTAAGTCACCAATCACATAGTCTTAAAAGTACGTTATCAGTGTATATAGTCTACTTCAGAAAATTAGGTTCAGATCCATAGGAGGATGACACAGATGCTCAGAACAGGATGAGGGAAGAATTAAGGCACCTGTACCCAGAAATGCAATTGTTAAGATTCTCGTTCCACCCTTTAGGCAGGCATAGGTACCCAAGTATATACTGGCACACTATGGTTTCTGTGATCTAGAATAAATAGCTCAGTTCGATCTCTTGAACCTGTTTGGAACTTATAGAAAGTTTAGGTTTCTACATGTCTCATGAATCAATCCACCAAAAATGCCCAAGAAGTCTACTGTTTATGCTCACCTTATATATAATACATAATATAGCACCTGGAGGAAGTTAACGCTTACATCTCCAGTGCAATCCACCCCTCCTACTGAGGTTCTGACACTGGACAGAAAATAATACAAAATAATAATACAAAATTCAAAGGTCTAGAGTAAGAACACAAAAGAGACAATGGCCATAGCTGATCTAATGAAAATGTCCAGTCTCACTGTAGTCAGTACTACTTACACAGTTTATATTGAACAGTCACCGAATCAAATTTAGCAAGATGATACTGATCCTCTGCTGCCAGTGAGTTTTAATAGTTTGCCTCTGCCTACCATCTAGCTACATGGTGGGGGAACTTCAAAGGGGCAAGATACCGCTGTGAACTCTGCCAGGCTGAAAAGGTCAGAGAACACAAGCCTTATAATTTCTGATTACACTACATTGGTAGGAAATCAGTGTAACAAAACTCATTGTCAGATTTTATGGAATAGGAAGGGGATTTTATTACACAAAAATCTAGAAGCAAACTGATCTGTAAGCAAGCTATTTTTCCTCACAGATTTCACTTGCTCGCTCTCATACAAGCACTAAGACACGTGTGCCCAAGTGGTCTGGACAGGATCACTTGTGGACAACACTGAAGACAAAGGACACCAGCTAGTAAATTCTCATCATATCTCTTGGATTCTTCTTGATTGGCATTTATGAACTGATTTTAGAATTGCCTTTCATGCTTTTCATGAGCGGATGCCATTTGGGATCTTTGCCTCATTGTTTTGTTTCATCCCTCTTGAGTCTAAAGCAGAATTCACAGTTCTGTTTTTCTTATCTGTGTATCTTGTAACTCCAGTCTTGCTCTTCATCTTCTTGGCACCTTAACTTTAGCCCGTTTGTCTTCCCTCTTGATTTGAATGAAATCACATACACAGTACTCTCTGGCAAACAGCAAATACTCCTTTTAGCCCTTCTGCTGGTTCTTCTGGTGCTTGCATATGCAATTCCATTCATACTTTATTCATGCCAATTGTAGTAGTTCTATTACACATCTCTACAATTCTAACCGCTACACAATTATATGAAACATGTATGCAACCATTCCCTTCAGCTATATATATTTTTTTTTTTTAAATGGCAATGGAATCACTCCAGAAAAATACATTCATGGGCCATATTGGTGTGTGAACAGTGATTTCTAAAATTTTACATAGAGGAGGCACTTCAGATAACCCAACTCCCACTCTAGCATTTCCTACTGCCTTAGTGTACACATTTGCTTTACTCAGTGTGTATACCTCTTTCTTACCCCACATACAGTATAGGTACCTTGGGTATTTCACTCTAGGAATGATGTAGCTAAATACAATTATTACAGAGAATAAAACCACTTTGGGTTAAATTAGCCCAATCAGTCCCACTTCTCAGAACACATCATAGCAAACTGTATAACTGGCTTTTTTTATCCACTAAGGTAAATATGCTTCGTGCTAACAGAATAGCAACAGCATATCAGAGCCTGCTGGGATTAGGCTGAAGTATGCACAGAGATATAAATGCTTTTTACTCAACCATGCAATGGGTATGCAATAAAGAAGTGAAATTACCAAAAAAGTATGTCGAATTTGTCCCACAATGGGATAACTGTACGACTAGCACATTAATCTGGAAGACAGATTTGTTCAACCATACATCTCCTTTGGTATGTTGATAAGTTTTTTTACGCTGCACCTTTTTCTTCCAGATATAAAATAATGAGAAGAATACTTCCTTGTGAAACCAGCCACATAGTTATGTGATCCATAGGACAGAAACGGGGAAGGTAAAAGATTACATTAATAAGTATTTAAATATTACAGAAAATTAAAGACTACATTAAAGGCATTTAATGTAAACAGACAAGACCTGTACAAAATCACATCCACGAGGCAGATCCTGACAAGTTTCAAAAGTAAATGGATTTTTCAAGGTTTGTTAGACTGAATGGCTCTATCATGTTGGATATCTTCCTGTGCAAATACGTTACCCTTCACAGTACATTAATTCATAAAGGAATCCATAAACAGGGGTACATGTGCAATGTTGAAGACAAAGTAAAAACAGTCACTCATAAATCAAAATCATAAGTCAGTTACATTGGCTTAGTAAATAAGTATTAAAAACCAAAAATGACATTTGTAAAAAAAAAAAAAAAAGTCTTATATGACTAAGTTGTAGGTGGTGACTTCTGGTAACATTTCAGTATTACTGAAGATCCAGCATCAGATTTTCAGACAGTTATGAAACATAACTACCCTAACTAATCTATTGAATATGATTTTGTTGTCCTTCAGAAGTTTTAGTAAGAAAAGTATACAACATTCGCATTTCGAAAGACAATGGTAGAAAACCAAGATTCATCTAAAAACCCAAGGAAGAAATTTGAAATATTTTTTAGTTTTAATGCAAACCAGTTTATAAATCTTGTTTACACCATGCGCAGAAAAGCTCTTTTTCTTGCACAGGAAGGACAGGCTGCAGAAACAGGATCACTCTTTTATAGCTGATGCCAGTATTGCACTATTCTTAAACTACGCCAGTGCCAGCTACAAATAAAAGCACAGAACGTATTGAGAAACTGTCTAGGGAGATGCATTTAAAGGCTGCCTGCTTTTTTGTTCAAGGGGTATATTTACTGGTTGTAAAGATGCACTTCCAATCATTTCCTTGACTGAACACTATATCCCTTTTGTCTTTTTTCATCTTCTCTGTATTTTTAGTTTGTTCAAAAAAAATCAATAGTCCTCTTTCCATTGTGTTTGGAAAGTGAATTTCAAACTGCATACTACAGTGATTTAACTGTGTGATCTTTTTCTGTTAAATTCCTTTACTACTTATAAGCCTTTGTTTAAGATTTTTCAAGAGGAGTTTTACTAATCAATTTATGTAAGACTGTAAAGGAATTTCACTTCTCATACTAAAAAAAAATTGCACTTTCATTTATACATAGTTAGAAAAACCAGGACAATTCTTCTATCCTAATAGTAATAAATGGTATCAAATGAAAACTTCCATGTAGATTTTAAAGTAGATAATTGAAAACATGCATTTTATTGGAATGAAAAGTTTAAAAGCAATTTTATGCATTTTCTTCTCTCTCTTAACACTTTCCTGCATTGCACTACTGGCTTAAGAGCCAAATAGCTAGAACTTCTGAGTGAAAATAAGTGATAATGTCTTTGAATTTATGATTTTTTTATTTTAAATAAACCAGCAATGGTCTCACAAAACTTTGTTGCAGGAAGTGGCATATTTTCCTCTGTATAAAAGTACTACAGTACAAAAAAATTAATACTTACATGCAGTAAGAGGTACTACTCCCAACCACGCAAAGGCCACAAGTGTATAATGAAACCAGTATCGTATTGCTGTGCCAATACTCGTAACCAGTCCAGCAAAGATGTCTTGGATTGGAAGCCGTGAAGGCATATCTGGGGAATAAACTGTGTAGAAAAGGCACTTATGAAACAGTTTTTCCTTTAAAGAAGAATTTATGTAAAAGTCTTGCCAACTACAAAATCTTTGTATTTAGCAAAAACTTACTAGAAGAATAAGCATATTTTATAGATTCCCAAGAGACAACCCCAAACAAATAACAAAAAAAACCTTCAAATGACACACTTGTTACATTGTGTTCTGAGTAGAATGGGAAAATTAATAAACTCCATGCTAGGTTTTGACTTAGAGAAGTTTTCTTAATAGCTTTATTTATCAACTGTAAACTCTGATTATCTCAAAATAAGCTCAAGCCTGCAAGAAAAAGTAGATTCTAAATTCAGTAGCCCTCCCACTCAGCACTACCTCAAAGATATCCCTGTCTGTTATTTATAAACCTAGTTCAAGGAAAGAGCACAAGGAACAAGAGCAATTAGCAATTTTCCACACTGCCCATTTGTTTGTGCTAGATAATTTAGATTCCACTTACTATCCAACAACCCCCCCAAAAAAATTCAGCAAATGAAAGCACGACACAGACAGGAAAACTAAAGGGAACTGATTAAGTATGTACAGACATGGAAATTTACACAGAATTACTATTACTTTCAACAGGTATCTATTTCATACTATGCAAGATTTCTTCTAAGGTCCTATTACAGAACATAATGCAAATCTCCTAGCCTGTATAGACACTTTCATAACAGTACATTTTCTTGACTTTTTAAAATTCAACATCTATATATTACATAAGCCTGTCCCTACTCAAAAGCCAAGAAAAACAGTGACATGGTTGCTTCTTTTGTAAACAATTAGAAAATATCTATCTCTAACAATTTCATTACATTTAGTTAGCTTCTACACATTTATATGGATGCCAAGAAGTGGTAATGCGCAGTATCAATAACAGATCTGAATGAAGACAATAAACTACAGTTAGGAGTTGCACAAAGACATTGCTGCCTGAATGTTTAACAGTTATGCTGGAACAGCTGAGCTTGAAGACTTTAACACATTTAATTAATGGACTATTTTTTAAAACATCATATACTTTTAACTACATAAGGAAACTCAATTTTTATAAGCAGTACTAAAGAAAAGTTTTCCTTCCCTCTCATGGACAATCCTTTAACTTAAGCGTCAGAAATACTGCTTCATGCAATCTACCTGCATCCCCTCTTTTCTCTAATGAACATCCCTGCTACCTTTACCTAATCATCCTATTACTAAGGTCAGAAAGGAAGCCTCTACAGGAGAAAAAACCCTCTTCTTTCCTCTCCAGGGATATTTCCCTAAGTTTCTGTATTGTAAAGAGAACTCAAGAACATAGAAAAGCAGTATCAATATGCAGAAATACTCAAAGAATGTGGAGCATTTGAGGCATTTCAACAACATGTAAATTATATTTGACACAAAGTAACAACAAAACAGTAACCATAAGACAAATAGGAGCTGGTTTTAAACTTCAAAAGTTCTTAGTTGTCAGGTATCTAGCAAGGAACTGGAATTCATAAAATAAAGGACTAAAAATGTAACACTAGAAAAGCCTAGTTGTGAGAACATAGAACAGCAATTGAAAGCAGGACACTAATGTTTTTTGACACTGTCCACCAATTTACAATTTTCTTATTACAGAAACAGATTTAGTATACAATTTGGTAGTACTATAGAAAATGCCAGCTGAAGACTTACTAATAATCTCTCAGCTCACACTGAAGAAACATTCTGGATAATTATCAGAGGAGATAAGCAGACCTTTGTTAAGGGTGCTAAAAGAATACCTACCTAGAGTATATTTGTAACACATTTATAGTATCACTCAGACAAAATTGAACTCAGCATATACTTTGAGGCTCATTTTTTTCATTTTTCAAAAAATGTATTTTGATCAACACTTTTGAACTGGAACACAGTCTACAAGTGAAAATAGTAACTTTGCATTAATTATTTATTTGTATGGGGGTTAAGTTGAGCGGGTTTAAAGTTTTTTAAAAAAATGCATCTTTCAGGGATTATTGAACACTCACACAGGGGACTGTAAAAAAAGGATGCCCATCCTAACTCAATAAAGCTGAAGCAGTTATAAATGTTAGCACCTCTACATACTCATTTTTCTAACAGCTTTAGGATTACAGCTGAGCATTCAAATAAACGCACAATGTAGCTACTACTCAGGGAAGACACACTACATCCCCCGAATTTTAACAATCTGGCAATTTTTGATTACTTGAGGAGTTTGAGGAGGGGCAGGGAAGACTGCTGTTTTTCCTCTGTTTTGCCACACCTCAAAATATATATCACATCACTAGAAGCTTTATACTGTGATGATAAGATAAAGCCCTTCTATGTCCTACAACGTTTGGGTGGGTGAAATGCAAAAATTCCTAGCACTACAGGAACCCCTGGTGTGCAAGCACACTGCAGCACTGAAGCTTGCTGCCAGTGATTTTCATAGTTAATCCCCCCACTTGCGTCTCTCATCTCATCTACTGTCCTTTCCTCTCCACAATCCACCCCCTTTTATCCACTCACTACCACTGTGAGGTCTGATACTTTGACCCCTGCCACTGCACTATACATCTTCTTTCATTCCCTTTTGCACACTTGTCCTCCTCATCCTACCTCCATCCCTTAATTCCCCTCCCAGTAAGCTTTCCTAACTCAATTTGAGAAACCAGTTTCCTGCATTATTTACCACAGTTCAGCCAATTGAGACCAATTAAAGCAATATTTTTTTTTTCTATTACAGAATGATATTCAAACAGACTGTGGCTAAGAATAAGTGAGCTTTCAAAGCTTTAGTTCAACTTCTTTGAGCTGTCCAGGCCATAGGAAAACTACTACAAAGCTTTTTGGATGCTCAGGTCACACATGTGCAGTGTAACTGCTATTTTACTCGTGAATACTAGATTTAGGTGGGGTTTTTTTGGTCGACTGGTTGCTTTCTAGGGGTGGGTTTTTGTTCTACCCTTCTCCCCATTTCCCCCCTCCCCCCCCCAAGCTTAACTTTTTCAGGAACATAAATATTAATTTTGCTTCTCCAAAGCAGACAGCTCAGGACAAAAATCTGCCATTACACTGACACAAATAAGGTAGCAAAAACACAAGGCTGTCTTTAGAAATTTTCCTTTGCCTAGAAAAAATAAAAGAAACTAGAGAATAATGATTAGTACTTTTCAGGGAAACAGTTTGTCAATAGATTTTATCTGACAAAAAAATCCAGAACAGGGAAGCGGGGAAAAAATTTCCCAATGCTCCAGCTTACCGAAGTGATACATTTAAGTTTATTACAGGAAGCTTTCTCATCATTCCCATTTCCTCAGAGGCTATTTAGTACAAACAACACACAACTGTACTTTGACAAACACAATAGGGA